CTACAGTGTGTCACCGTGCTGTCGACAGAATCACCTCTGAATGCACACAGAAGATCTTTAAGACACTTCAGAACCACGAGTGCCTTTCAAGGGGGTGACGGGAGGCGGGGCGCACGGGGGAAGCCCGCCAGAGGCTGCGGTAGGCCCTGGGCGAGGCGACAGTCGTGTCCCCCCACCCCCCACCCGGGGCCAGGACAGTCGTATCCCCCCGCCCCCCACCCGGGGCCACCCTGCCTCGACAGGTTCCCCGTTTAAGGCACAATCAGACTTACGGGAAAACACACACACACACGTAAATACCGTATAGGAAAGAACACAAACTGTTAGCAATCATGGCTGAGTAATGATTTCACGAGCCGGAAACTGAATGCACGTCTTTGTGCAGAAAATAATCATTTTTACGTGCCTGGCAAGTAAGTGCCTGGCGGACCTGAGCCTGGCCCGGGCACACAGCAGTCCGCTCCGGCTGCACCCGCCCGGGACGCGCTGACCGTCACCTGCCCACATCTTGTTTAGTAACCAACCGGGTTTGGCTGTTGGCAGACACTATGTTGACCGCCGGTAATTTGTGATAATTTCTTTAAACGAGCAAGAGAGCGCTCTAAAACAGAGGTGGGTCAGCCAAACGTTCAGGCACCGGAGGGTCAAAGGTAAGAGCCCCCGCCGCCGGCTGCACCCCGGCATCCTGTGCCGATGATGCTCAAAGGTAAGCCGCCACCAACCAGCTTGGGTTCTTTTGTGTAACAGGAAACCCTTCTCCCACATGGACCCTTTGAGGAAACCGCGACACTCGCGTTTGTGCAAGGACACCTCACACCCGGAAACGTGTCTGTCGACCAGTTTTCGTTCTAAGGTAATTCCAATTAGAAGCGTACAGATTCCAATCTGTCTTAATCAAGTAACGTGGCAATGCCTATATCCTAATTAAAAAATAATTTCTTTTATTGCTCTTAACAATTTGAGGTGTCCCTCCCGGTGAAGTTATAAGCCCGAAAACTCTCCAATCTGCCCATACCGTGAGTTTCTCAGGTGGGAAGCACTATTTTAATTATTACTAAACAGGCAAGTGATACACTATTAGACAAATATTAAAACAAGCATTGCACTCGAGTTATTAATTTGCACTATATTCACTTTTAAATGCAGCAAATATCTCATTAATTTAATTTTAGGTGCCCACCCGTTTATATTGCATTTTACAGTCTAAAAGGCAATTTACTATTAACTGGCAATTACATACAGAGTGATTGTTAATTCTGCTCCTAAGTGCTAGCCGCTTGAAAATTGTTCTCTCTCTCTAATTTTTGACCTTCTTACAACAGGGGTGAGGCACAGTGGGAATACAGAGGACTAGTATGGAAGAGCCGGACATGTCATTTGTGACTCATTCTTTTAATTCACCGTGCTAATCAACTGAACTGCCACTGCCTCCCAAGGTAATTGTGCCTTTATCGTAGTTGAAAGCAGCAGGCAGAAGGGTCTGGATGGATGGGCTTGGCCGGCCTCCCCGTCCCGGGGGCAGCAGAGCGCCTGCACCCACTCTGGCTTCACTCACCGGGTCGGGTTCTGAAAACCCTGGTGTTTCTCAGATCCCTGTTCTCAGACGACCGAGGCCTCTTGGCCCTGCGGGCGGGGCCCCCCTCTGCGCCCAGGTTCATGATCCCGGGGCCGGGCCGCCTGGTCGGGAAGGTTCCACGTGAGGGTGTCCCGGCCGCGTCCGGGACTGATGGGAGCCAGATGCCCAGGGGACGGCGCCCTCGCTGCAGGGGCTGCGGGGGCTGCAGGCCCGCGTCCTGCGGCTGGCTCCGTTTGGGGGGCGGGGGGCAGTGCAATTCCCAGTGATTGCTTCGTGGGCCCCATCAATTTCAGGGCCATGCAAATCAGACAGAAGCTTCCAGGTCAGACAGGTTATGACCCCACCTTTCCTCTGCTCCCTGAGAGTGTACGGCCCGTATCCCTTACACGGCGTTTGAAATGTATATTCCCTTAATGATTGGGGTGTGGGGGGAGGCCGTAAATTAGCCTCCCGCTACGAGAGGCTGAGCTCGCTGAATGGCTTCATTCAAACTCCCTTCCGAGAAAGAACTCTTGCTAGAGGAAATCCCCCCAAGCCTCGGGCCGTGGGGCCCCGCATATGCGGCCCCAGGAGCCCAGTTAGCTTTTGGGGTGCAGGCATGGGCCGCCAAAGTGAAGACGGCTTCGGGGCAGCGGGGGGGGGTGGGGGGGCGCTGGCCCTCACTGAGGACCACCCCTGCCCTAGGCGGGGAGGGTGGTGGAGCACCCCCCGGGCACCCCCAGAGGAGGCCTCGGCGGGGAGGGTGGTGGAGCACCCCCGGGCACCCCTAGAGGAGGCCTTGGAGCACCCCCCGGGCACCCACAGAGGAGACCTCAGTGGGCAGGATGGTGGAGCACCCCCTGGCACCCCCAGAGGAGGCCTCGGCCAGGGACGGTGTCCTGCACACAGAGACCACCGATGCCCACCTGCCCTGACCCCGGCGACACCACCACTCCAGCCCTGTATGTGGGCGCCTGCCCCCTAGGAGCGGGTGCCCCCCCACACACGTGATACCCCTGGCCAGGGATGGGTGCCCACCCCCTCTTGCACATGTGACAGATGGCCCCGCCCTGCACACATGATGCCCACCGCCGAAATAGATGGTCCCGCCCCATAACGTGACAGATGGCCCCTCCCTGCACACGTGACACCCACCGGCGGGGGGACACGTGGCCCCGCTCACTTTCCAGTCCCTCCTGAGCTCATTTCCAAGCTCACCCGGCCCTTCCCGCCTTCCACGGGCCTGGGAGGGAAGATGCTGAAGCGGACCTTCCTGCCATCATGTTCTTCCTACAATGGGGGCTGACCCCCACCTGCACCCCCACCCGTCCCCACCCCCACCCCCCACAATAAAGCCCGCATATGCAAAGGTCGGATCTGGGCAAGGAGCCCCTGAAGGCACCGGCCGCGGCCTCTAACCAGGACGAGGAGCTGGGGAACAGCCGACTCCCCTCCGTTTCGCGCGGAAGGGCAAGTGACCCTGGCCACCCGGACACCTGGCCACGGGGCCCTAACCCGAGCAGGATGCTCCTTCCCGTGGCGGACACAGGAGCCCCGCAGCACGGCTCCGGGGAGGGTAAGAAGGTTCCTTGGAGGACCTGGGGACCCTGGCGGCAGCCACCCCAGCCGTCCTCAGGAGGTACCACTAAGACAGTGCCCTAAGTTCCCTCTGACCCCACAAAACCCAAGGGAGGAGGCCGAGGAGGAGGCGGGCCTCGGGGCCTCCGCAGCTCGAGGCTCACAGGCCAGAGCCTCTGGGAGGCGGGGTTGCTCTGACAGTGAGCGCAACGTGGGGTGTGGGGCGCGTGCACAGGCGCGCCGGCCGCTGACACGCGAGGCTGGGCCACCACGGAGGTGCTGGAGGCCCCACAGCCACCTCCCAGGGGCCCGCGGCGCTCGCTCATGGGAGCCGCACGGCGGCTTCCCAGGGGCCCCACGTGTCGTAACCTGGGGGCCTCACAAGCTGGACGGGCTGCCCTTCCCAGCCTCTGGGTCTTCCCAGGAAGCCAAGCGCATCCTGACCCAGGGAGTGTCCCCAGGGACCTCCACCCACCACTTTCCTTGCTGCGCCCACTTCCCCAGGGTTCCTTGGCAATTCTGGGCTCCTGGGAGTACGTGCAGCTCCCACGGGAGGGGGTGGCCCTTCTCCCACCTCAACCACCCGACAGGATGCCGAGTTTGGGGGAAGACGACAGAGGAGAAAACTCCTGCCGTCAAGGACCCCAGGGATCACCGCTGGCCGCCAGGCTGCTGGGGGTCTGGCTGCCCCTGGGGACAGCAGCCATGGCTCTCTGAGAGGACCTGAGGCAGGCACAGGCCTGGGGTGACGCTGGGCCTGTGGGGAGTGGTAGGGAGTGTAAGTCCATTTCACACCCACTCAGCACTTCCTACAAGGGGAGGTGCGGTTACCTCCCCGCCCTCCTCAAACCCCTAAGTGGAAGGGACGTCTGCACCCTCCACATCCACCTCCCCGGGGGACAGAGAGGCCCGTGTCCCAGGAGGCGGCCAGATGTGCTGCAGGGCATCCCATAGCTGGTGATGGCGTGTGGTCCAGCCTACAGCCCAGGCACGGACCCCCACCCGGCCCCAGCCACCCTCACCACACAAGCACACGGAGGCCACAATATGGAAGAACAAGTCCCCATCCCTGTCACCCCCGCGGGGTTTCAGCAGGTGCTGTCCATCCTTACAAACGCTCCTCAGACAACACTAGAGCTTTCAGCAGGCTAGGACTAAAAGTCAAAACGCAAAGACGCCTGGAGTTTATTGATGGCGTCTCTCAACAGCCACCTGGACGAATCATGTCAACCAAGCACCTGTGTGGGCAGAGCACTGTATACGACAGCCCTGGGACAACAAACATGCCATTTCAGAGGTGACCCTTTCTGGTGACACATGTTTGAGACCCTCACAGAAAACGGGTCCTCTTTTAGAAACAGCGTAGGGCCTGGGGCGGACACCTGGCTTCCGTCAGGGGCCCATCGTTCGCACTGTGTGGCCTCGGGCACGTGACTTGTGCTTGATCTCTGAGTCCCAACTTGTGCAAGGGAACAGCCGCACCGCGAGCACCCACGTAGAGTGATACCGTGGGCACGCAGGGCCGCTCCACGGGGGCCGGGCACACAGGCAGCTGCCCAGTGGAAGCTGGAGGTGACTAGCTAGTGACAGCCGCACCACCTCGCTTCATGGGCCAGAAGGCAAAGGTTCACAGGTGGGGGAGGGACCCAAGCCCTCGTGGCCTGTGGGGGCTGCACCTGTCCACAGCATCACCAGCTTGGACGAGGATGCAAAAACCACGCCCCCGACTGAACCAACCCTCGGGCCAGTGGGGCTTGGCCTGTCCTCAAGGGGAACCCTCCTGTGCAGGCCCAGTGGGCCACCTCCGGGCTCCCATCGGGAAGAGGCATCCCCCGCCTTGCCACCGAAGTCGGAAACGTGAACTCAC